AGCTGCGGCAGCGTCCTCATCCTCTCGCTGGCATCCTCTATCCGGTTGGCCTCGATAAAGTCATTGTACTTATCTGAAAGTGGGACATGGGGGGGTCAGAGCTGGGAGGAGGGGAGAGGGCACCCCCCGAGGCCAGGGACCCCCGGAGGTGCTGGGGAGGGGGCTGCTGGGGTCCCACAGGGACAAGGGCTGGCCCAGGGGACTCATGGAGGATGGGGTCTGCAGTGCCTTGGGTGCGCACTGCCACAGGCTCTGGAACTTGTCCCCCACACAGGATGGGCTCTAGGCATGACAGTGAGCTGGTGACAACCACGGCCATCAGCACAGGGTCATCTGTGGCCACTGGGGGGTCTCTGGTGGCCCCGGGCGCAGCCACTCACCATCAGTGAAGAGCGGCTCAGGCAGCTTTCGGAAGAAGGATTTCAAGAGGCTGCTGATGACGTTCAGGTCCTGCCACCGCTGCGGGGAGAGAGGAGGCTGCTCAGAGGGACCACAAGAGGCAAACCCAGGTGCCACCAGGCAAAGTCCCCAGGCCAGGGAAGTCCCAGGCCACCAACACCAAGGGGGGCACCAGCCAGCTCTGCCGCTGTCCCCAGCCCTGCGTCTGGCAGGAAGAGCTGTGCTACTGCAGCAGTGTGAGAAGATGCAAGAGGACAAATGTGTCCCCGAGCTGCTGTCACCACCGCTAGGCGGCCCTGCCGCTCCAGGGACACAGCCATGGGGACAGGGATGATGATGGGGACAGGGATGATGATGGGGACAGGGATGATGACGGAATGATGACAGGGATGATGATCATGATGGAGACAGGAACGATGACAGAGACAGGAATGATGATCATGTTGGAGACAGGGGTGATGATGGGGATAAAGATGATAATGGAGGCAGGGATGATGATCATGATGGGGACAGAGATGGTAATGGGAACAGGGATGATGATCATTTTGGAGATAGGAATGATGACAAGGATAGGAACGATGATCATGAGGGGGACAGGGATGATGATGGAGACAGTGACGGGGATGAATTCAGGCATGGTGACAGAGCCATGAGCCAGGACAACCACCCCAGAGCACCTCAGCAGCGTGGGGACAGGGACGGGGACACGCCGCCCACCCTGCCCTCACCTCGTCCTGCAGGTTGATCTCGGTGGCTCCCTTGTTGAGCTGCTCCTGCAGGCTGGACACCACCGCGTTGTTGCCGGGCACTCGGTAGATGCCCATGTACTCCAGCCCTCGGTCTTCCACCACCTTGCAGCAAGCTTCGACGATCAGCGGGACGTTCTGCAGGGACAAGGAGGAGGTGATGGAGGTGCCAGGGCTGCGTGGGGTCCCCAGAGGGCTGGCACTGCCACCACGGCTGTACCTTGTTGTCCGGGGCAGGCTGGCAGTCCTCCAGCCTCACGCCAAAGGCCCTGGGGGCAGATTTCTTGTTCTTCTTCATTATATTGATGCCCCACGGAGCTTTTTGGGAGCTGCTATCGTCTGGGGAGAACAACACCCACAAGGTCACTTGGGATAAATGGAAAGAGCATCCCTGCTGCCCTATAGGGGTG